AGCGCACTGGGCTCCGAGTCGGACGACCCGTGTTCTAGTCCTGGCCGGGGCAAGGCGTTGTGCCCTTGAGACGTGAGGGGGAAAAAAAAAAAGCGGGCTCCGCTTTAAGGCTTGGCTAAATCTATGTATTATAGGGAACGAAATATGGTCGACTAACAACGATATATATCTCGAAATATTATTTTACGCGTAAAATTGGTAGAATCTACTCAAACCTTGTGTGTCCGTTGTGGTTTCTGGCGTTCTCTGCCGTTTTAAGCTCGCTTTTCCTACTGTTATTCCTGTCAGAAGTGGAAGTCAACTTCGTTAGTTCGTGAAAAAAATCGTTTGCCTTTTCGTGACGTGAGCTTGGAATGCCTGCTTTACGTTAAGCAGTGGACGCATAGTGAGGATTTGAGAGATAAAATAAATTTAATTTATTTCTTAAATTAAAATTCTGAATAAGTTTTGAATTAAGAAAAAATACTTTCCTCGCTCTCATAGAGTTGGATTTTTAGGCTATTTACCAGGCTGTTTAGTTCGGTTCCGTTTATCTTCTCTAATTTCTATATAATCCTTTCCCGGTATAATTTCGCTCCGAACGCCGCAATTACAACGAAATTCCACATACGTGACAGACAATGATAGAACTCCATAATTTCGTAAATGTGTTAATTAACAAAATGAGGATGGTAAGGAAAATGCTTAGCATTTTTCAAACAAAACGCGTATAATCGGTGACTTAATTCGTATTGACTACCAGCAGAAATGTAGCGAATTTCTTTGCAACAAAGTACAAATATTTAGCCTTAAATGTAATATTGTGCTCCATGATAAGGGTCTGGAGATCACTGATTTTTTGTTTTATCTTCCTATTAGAATGAATGGACGGCCGATCGTTTCACGTTTTCGTTGATGTGGGATTTTCCTGACGGAAAATCTTGTCTTTTTATACTTATTTTTAACATTTGTTTCATAAGATTGCGAGTATTGAACTTGTGACGTTTATTTCCCTTTATCTTGAATTGACAGTCGTTTCATTTTAATCTTTATGTAGTTTGCATGTTATTTTTTCAGACAGTAACAAATACAGAGAAGCTCATGCTATTAAAAGGAACGAATGCCATCCAAATTTCATTTGCATAAATAGTCAGGGCTCATACAACTGCTCTTCAAATCCTAAACAGGTCTGGGATGACTTTACCTTTGAAGGCGTATGTTTAGTATCTGCCATTTATTTTCGCATTTTTTAAGTGGGTATTACATAGACTTGTTATGCGTTGCTGCTAGATGGCCATTGTCGGCCATATTATTTGTTTGTTAGTTAAATATCCTAGTTGTACATTTAGTTTTTCTAGAGTTCTTCTTTTCATGCGCTATTTCTGAGAAAGAGAAAACTAATTTCAGAACCTGCTGTCCACAAAACTATCTGAGTTTGATTTCCAACATCACTAATGTCAGTCTCGACGTACAAGTACGAGTTAAAACAAGTACCCACATAAGTACCAGTTAACCTTTTTTGGATTTCAATTATTGTTCTTTTAAGTACTAGTTCTAAAGCCAAGTTACTTTTTCTGCTTTCTACGCAAATACTGCGGTCTTTGTCTTGACATAGTTGTTTTTCTTTTTCCCAGTATTTTATCACCTTCAATTGAACAATGAACCGAGAGAGCTACACACTTAACAAACACTATCGAGAATAGGGTCAACATTTGGAAATTAAAGTATAAGATGTCTAGGGTTTATCATGAAAGTCCCGCCATGTCCCTGATACACATAATAAACTCTTTGCAATAGAATAAAATTAAAGAATATCTAATCGAAAGAAAACAATTCGAAGATTTCAGAACATTCGCACCGAACTTTTACATTTGATCAAAGAATAAATTTTTGACGCGAAATAATTTCAGATCTAAAGAAGTCATGGTCGAAGAAAGCTCAGAGAAATAACACCTTGCAACGACAATTGCTTTCTGAGAAAAGTACGTTTTCTGATGAAATTTTTTTCTTACCTTTGCAGGTATGTCCATCTCCAGAAAAATCGGCTCTGCAAGAGCAGCGATACGATCCCAGAGTGTTTTCCCAGTCAGCGTTCACATCACAAACACTAACGCAGGTATTACATTCGCCTGTAGATGAATATGCAAAGCGTTTAGAGCTACAATATACATTGATCATGAAGCACAATTTTAAGCAAATTATTGTTCAGATCCTCTTTAATCAAGTTATTCACCATTAAAAAAAAAGGCCTAGAGTGTGAGTGTCAAACAGCTTTATCGGGCAGGCTTTCCAAGAGTTTCTATGTATATCATTCCAATAACATATTGAGTCGTTGCTTGGTGTTGGGAATTGAAGCAAAGCATAAACAATGAGTTCACCTTACTTAGTAGGATGCAAACGAGTCAAGATTTATCAAATCCTAATTTGAAAAAAAAAGATTCCTATGAATATGCAATTCTTGCAGTCATCTATTGCCGTACATGGATTAAGATATAAAATATATAAATAAGAGAAAAGATAAGATTAAAAAAAAGATCTGCCATGTTTCGAAATGCGCGGGCGCTTATTCGTGGGTGATGCGATTTAAGTTAATTTTAGTCTCCTGCTGTTAGATTAAGAGCCAGCCATATACTCTGTAAGGGCTGACAAAAGAGTTCCTTCCTGCTTCATAACTAGTTTCCGAGGAAGAAATCTTAAACGACTAAGAACAATTTATCTTTTCTTGAACATAGTAAGTCTTTTCCTGGTGTACCAGGAAAAGACTTACTATGTGTGTTTCTACCAAACGATCAGACTTACGATCGACAACAAGATAGTATTGTACCTGACAGAAAAGCTTACCGTTAGCTTTTACGCTATGTGCAATACTTTTTAGTGTATATCCATTCTGTTTAACTTTCTTCCTCTACCTACGGTTTTCATTTCACAGTGAGTCAACACAGGAGTGTCAGGTTTGATGAAATTCAGCCAGTGTTTGCCGCTGACCACCTGTCAACCTTCACTCGCCTTGATTTCCTTGCACGAGTCTGCAGACAGCTCTGGAATGGCACCGAGAATAGCTAGAAAATAAGAAAACGAGAAAGTACAGAGAAAAACGCGATGTCTTCCCCTTTAAGACAGTTAGCCGAATCATTTTGCCTTAACGCCCACCTCTCTACGTATCTCGTCTGAAGTAATACCTCTCAGAGTTGGGTACAAAATCTTCAGGCCCGGCTTCCTTTATGCGATTGCTCAACTCACACTTTTCTTGGATGAACACATAGTTAAAGCTTTGGCATCTGACGTCACGATAAGATTCCCGCAAACATACATCACCGATTGCTCCTCCAGAGAAGGAGTTTTCGCGTGAATCCCGGTGATACTGAGTATTTACTGAATGAAACAATACCAACAGGATGAGGAAAACTGGCAAATGAAAGAACTCTTTGACCACCATTGAGGTTAATCTCACCAGAAATGAAACAATGAAATTGAATGGGCATAGTGACAAATATGCAGTCATCCACAAAAACACGGCGAAGAAGGTAATTGCGAATGGAGGGCACTTAATGCTTGGCTTTGTTTCAAACATATGACATATGGCACGCGGCACACACAACGTGAAATATGACACGCATTCATATTAACAGCATAATGCGAGGCGGTGTGCGTGAGATATGGCACGGGTAAATGGGACACGGCTCCTAAAACAGTCCCATTGCGCGTTCTTCTTTCTGTACCATGACAATGTTTAAAAATTACAATTATTTTATTTAATAGAGACAGAGGTCGTCACTCCTAATGCATGAAAAAAGGAGCAGAAAAATAGACATAAATTAAAGTAAATTCATTTATTTCCGATCCATTTCCTTCAGTAGCAGCAGCCATTTTGCTGATCCAAATAATCCACTTATTCTTTATAAATAGAACACTGTGTTGGTCGCCCTTAGCGACGCTTCTAAAATTGCCAAAAATAATGCATTTCATAAAAATGAACACGACTTCTTTTCCACGTAATTTCTATCAGATAAAAATTAATTTTAAACAGCAGTTCATTTTCCCAATCTGAACGTAGAAGTTACTCTTACAGAACAGAGGGTTAGTAAAGATCCCTATAGTTTTTTCTTCTTGCTGGTTTATTCCATTATCTTCATTTCACACGTAGATTAGATCAACCAAGAAATATTAACATTAAACCAAGTTATGCCTTTCAGTGCTTTTCTCCTGGTGTTGAGAACTTTAATCTAGTTTGGGACTGGCAGTCAGTTATTTTTGAAAATGCCTGTGTGCAGTGTGAACAATGACATTCTCCTCATCATACATGTAACATTTATAATTCTTCAGATGTCAGATTTTTCGAGGTTGGCTTTGGATGTTTATGTTTTTTACAAGATATGGCTATAACATCAAGAAAATTCAGACCCAAACGGAACACAATAAACAAATGGTCAATGTCCGCAATCTGAAATTTTATGGGGTTTGAGAAAATCCTTTGTTTATTTGGTCAATTCTACAATCTCGGGTTCATGTCAGGATTTTTGTTTCCCAGCAACAAAAATCATTCCCAACTTCTGTCGTTAATTGATGTTAGCAACAACTCATAGAATCTGCTTCTGTCTGTAAATTAAACTCCTCCAGCCAAAGACAACGATTTCACAAAAATGAAGCATGGTGTTGGCAATACTGGCAGGTACATGCTCAAATGTACGAACTTAAGTAAAGATGCAACAAGACACTTTGGAATGATTCTGACAACCCACATCATTACGAATGAAAAAAAAAAAAAAAGGGGAATTTGATAATTTCATTTTTCCATAGTATACTCACACTACTTGGGCCGATCGTACAAAATTGTACGACTCCGTTAACATTCAATATATCGAAAATGCTCGTTTTACGTCCGATCGTTCTGAAATTCCGACTGTAGCAATGGATGTATTGACATCTTCTAAGCCAATCACATGGGGAAAAGTTTACGTCCGATCGTTCTGAAATTCCGAACTATCAATCACGTGACCTATAACGTGACCCCCTTCCGAAAATTAGTTCCATACGATTTCAACGTGTGAAGATGGCATCCGATGCGAAGCGTCAGAAATACAGCGTAGCCGAGGCTTCAGAGATGATTTTTGACGATGGAAGTGAGCATGGTGGTATGTCTAGTGGTGAGGAGTCCGAATTAGACAGAAAACTGGAAAATCTTAGCGAAGAATCGAGGTAAGTAATCAGTAAACATTCTTGCGATATTCAAATAAGTAAAGCATGTGGTCTTGAAACGGTGTAAAACCACACTTACTTTTACTTTTCGCGCTCGAATCCTTGTTTCTTTGCCTTAAGACAAACCTATAGATGTATATTTGTGAATGTAAAGCAATATGCACTGTGATCAAACATGATTTTAAAGCGACAGAGTAAATAATTTTCAATGGAATTTTAGAACGCAACGCGCTAAATTATAAGCTGATCACAGATCGAATGACGCAGTGCGCAATCAAATCCTTTATTTGAAAACGATTATTGTATATATATGTATGGACCTCTATGTTAACTCATATGTTTTGTGTGTTTTTTTTAGAGGTGGTTCTACTTGTTACATGCTGAAATTCACAAAACAGACAAATTATGCAAAAAAATATGCGTTGTGAAAATGTTTTTAGTGGAATGATGTAAAATGACAGTTTCGGGTTTCACTTCTGAATTGTTTTACTCTTGGAAAATACTGGTGGTGCATTACAAGTGAAAGGCTTTTGATATGTGTTGTGCTTTATTATTTTGAGGTTGATTATCTCTATTTATCCTTGTTTCAAGGCCAAATTTTTAGAAATCCAACAAAGAAATTTACTATTTCATCTCTTCAGTGAATCGGTTTTTTTTTATTATTTCATCTCTTCAGTGAATCGGAAGGAGACGTGGGAGAGGTTAGGGAGCATGAAGAAGATCCTGATTGGATTGAAGGAGAAGTTTCAGAGGTTAGTGAGATTGAGAGTGAGGGTGAGATGGAGAGAGAAGACACTGATGTTGGTGTTTCTGTTGATCCAGTGCCTTCCACATCCCATGCCACAGGTAAGTTTTACAAGCCTGCAAGGTCACGTTGTCCTCTCAGGGCTAAAAGGGAACCTGCCAGACGAGGTACCCATGGTGTTCGAGGTGCTAGAGTTTGTGCTTTAGTAGCTCGAGGTTCTACAAGTGATCGTGGTGGTAGTAGAGCCACAAAACGTGCACCCCCAACCCCAGAGGACCCTTCCTCAGAGGATACTTATAAATCATATCATGATGAGGATGAGGGAAATCCCTGTGATCAGTTTCCACCCCCTCCCTTTACACCTGCACGTCCTCTTGGGATACAATTCGAACAGCCTTTGCTCAGGGGTAGGATGAATACTGCTGTTGAGTTTTTTAAATTATTTTTTACTAAAGAACTGGTGAATAATATTGTTGAGCACACCAACAGCTATGCTGTTCAACACATTACTGAGGGTACCCATAGGAGTTATGCTCAAGCAGATGGATCATGGAAAGACACAACACCAGAGGAGATATACCGGTTGATAGCCCTTCTGATCTATTTTGGTTTAGTGAAAATAGGTATTACTATAAACAGGTATTGGAGTACCAAGACCCTCTACCATGGTTTATGGGCAAGATCCATCATGCCCAGAATACGATTTCAAGGGCTCATGGCCTTCTTGCATGTTGTAGATCCTGCATCTGAGACCCCCAGTAACAAGTTACGTAAAGTAGAGTCCCTTGTTAACTATTTTAAATCTAGATGTGTTGCTTTGTATCAGCCCAGAAAACATGTGGCCATCGATGAGCGAATGGTCAGGTCTCGTCACAGGTCTGGCATCAGGCAGTACACGAAGGACAAACCAACTAAGTGGGGAATAAAACTGTGGGTACTCGCTGATAGTTCTAATGGTTATACTGTAGACTTCAACATTTACATTGGAAAAGATGCTGCAAGAGGGATTAGTGAGTTTGGGCTTGGGCATGATGTTGTGGTAAGACTTATTAGTCCCTACTATGATCAAGGTTATCACTTGTTTATTGACAATTTTTATACTTCAGTTCATCTCATGAAGCATTTATTTCAGCATGGAGTCATTGCTACAGGTACCATTTTGGATACCAGGAAAGATTTCCCAGCAAATCTCAAGAAAGGAAGCAAATGGGGAAAGGGCAAAGCCAGGGGTAGTATGCGGTGGCAGAGGGATCCGCCCTGCTTAGTCTTGCAGTGGGTTGACAATAAAGTAGTATCTATGATCAGTACTTCTGGTAATGCTAATGACTCTGTTCAGATAAATCGTAAAATAAAATCTGGTGGTGTGTGGAGCTCATTAGAGGTACCTCAGCCTCAGGTCTTTGCAATGTACAATCAGTATATGAATGCAGTGGATCGATCTGACCAGATTCTGGCCACCCACAATGTGCAACGCAAATGTATGAGGTGGTGGAAGACCTTAATTTTTCACCTTATTGACATTGGTGTTGTCAACAGTTTTATTCTTTTCAGAGAGCACCAGAGGAACAATCCAGATAATCCTGCCCTCAGAAGGACCTCAGAATATTCACTGGGTGACTTCAGGGAGGAGCTTATCCGTGGAATTTGTGGTTTTCTTGATTATGACAACCCCCCTGTGTCCACTGCAGGCAGACCCCCAAGACCAGCTTCCCAAACCAGCCAATTTGTGACAGAGCACATTCCACTTCAGGGTGAGCATAGGAGAAACTGTGTGGTCTGCTACAGGGAAGGTAGGGGTGAGGTAAAGGTGCAAACCTACTGCAGTGCGCCGCAGTGTGAGGGAAAGTATATGCATGTTGCTAAACAGAGAAACTGCTTTGCAGTATTTCATAGTGCAGAGTATCACCTTCCCAATCCTTGAACCTTGATTTCCTGTTTGCTCTGAAACCCTCCGTGTGTGTATGTTGTGTTTTACATGTACATAGGAAAACAAGATAGGAGAAAATAGGGGTAAAAAAAAATTTTGTTTTGTCATTGCTTATGCTTTAAATGTTGTGATGAATGCCTTTTATTATTTAGCTGTGGGGCCTGCCTAGAGTTGGCAAGGGTGAGATGAGGGTGCCCCACACCATTTTTACTACCAGCATTTTCTTGAAGGTAAATAAACACCACTCAAACTACATGAGAGAAAAAAAAATTCCATTTTATTAACTTCAATCAGTGTTCAACAGATTTTTGTAACACATTGCAGATTTATCACACCACTAAAACAACATGAGAGAAAAAAAATTTCCATTTTATTAACTTCAATCAGTGTTCAACAGATTTTTGTAACACATTGCAGATTTGTTATTTTCCAACCAGTTTTTATGGAGATGTTGCCCATTTAAAAAGGAACGTTTTTAGTTCATTTTTGCCCCATTACTTTATATCATTTGGGTATCACTTAATTCAAAGTTCAAATTTTGATGATATGGTATGCTAATTTGAAAGCATTCATTGAGGTGGTTTTTTTCCTTGAAGAGGAAACATGCGTTTCAGGAAAGCTTATTTACTGCTGTTTCAAGTAAGGTATAGCTTACTTCCCTTGTGTAAATACTTGGTGAGGAAAAATTCTTCAATAATCTGGGTAAATTTTTATGGTTTTGGGTTACTGTTTGGAAAAAAAAAAGCTAATTAATTCTGTGTGTGTTCTTTTTCATCGAGATTCTCTGGATGTCTTTACCATAAGATAGGGAATATTTCATCTTGAATTGTTTCCTTGTAAATCCATTCCATTCAGGCCAAGGCTGTTTTAAAGTCAAAAGTTGCATGATAATTCATGCAAACTGTATGCCATTTTCTTAGCGTGATTTAAAATACATGGATTTTTGAAGGAAAAAAATTTTTTTTTCCACAAAGCTTATTTCATCCTCTTTCAAATGAGATACAGTACTACTCACTAGTGCAAATGCTGTTGACAAAACAAAAGAAAAAAGGTTGTTGTCTTTTGTCATTTTTTGGGATGTTGGGAATTTAATTTTAATTGTTTTAGTGTAGTATTAAGTGTTTTTGTAAAGGGTAGTTATTCATGAATAAATATAGGCATGCCTATTATCATTTTATATTTCCAAATCCTAATGATACCTGTTTGACAGGAAAATTATGTTTCAAAAGAAAAAAACATACAACTCATGGCTTTCATCTTACTTGATGTTTAAAGTAATTTAAGATTTTGATGGACTGTAATGAAATCTGTATTTTGCACTGAAACTTTGTAAATTTCTTAAATTTAACAACATTGATTCCATATAGTTTTTCATCATCTGTCACTTTATATGAGCACAGAAAGTCAGCTTTAGTAATAACTTAATGCATGTGATTACTGCAATATCCATAATGAAATTTGTTAAAGAAAAAACAATTCATAGATACTTTCAGGCTTTCCTACAATTACTCCCCACCTCTCCCCCCTCCTCCATCCTTCTCCCATTAAAAAATGGTTATATCATTATCTGTTACTCAGGCATTAGTAGACCAATATATGATATATAAATGTTATTAAATTATCAAGTGGTATGAAATACTTGAGATCTTCTTATCAGTATTACTTTGAGACAACAATATTGTTAAAATGAAAGTTAGCAAAATATGTGTATACAAAGTCTGTTAATATTTACTGGTTACAATAAGTGATAACATATATGTATTGGAGCCCTAATTATTGTGCAGTTATTGTAAAGGTTTTTCACAAGGATCAATGGTTGTACTGTATTTAGCTCAATACTCAATCTCTCAAACTGCATTGATCACAATTTTACTCAGTAATTTCACCTTGATTTTTACCATTGGGTGTTTCTTGGGTTTTATATCAGGCAGCACATAAAGTAAGTCCTGCATTAGCAGTCTGTTAACTATTTTTATTACAATGTAGTCTGATTACATATGCAACAGCAACCGCATATTATTTGAGTAAGTTATTGGCTGTCACTAGAAATGAAAGGTTTTAGAACCGATGTTCTTCTTTCATTAGCTCTCACTCATGACCTATGAACTGTGTAACTTTTGTACTTTAGAACAAATGTACTTCTTTCATTAGCTCTCACTCATGACCTATGAACTGTGTAACTTTTGATTGATGTTCTACTTTATAGTTCTTTTGTTTAACCTCAAAAAAGTTTGATTTGTGTTGTTTCAGCAGATATTGATATTGACTGCAACTGGAAAAATTTCGTTTGCTCAACTGTCGCATGTATCGATAATCTTAACTAACTCCAGATCCTTGCCCTAGTTTTAAATTTTTTGCACTATGAATTAGGATACATGTATACACCATTTGCAACTTGGCTGCCATAGGAAGGCTTCAATATTTCTTGAAACAACACATGTCAATATTCCTTTACTTTAGGAAATTTGGAAGAGAATTAGTTCTCAAATTTTGCAACCTAGCTTGGATGAGTTAATACTTGGTAAAGAATTGTGAATATTTTATTAACTTACAGTAGTGGTGCAAATAAATTACGTTTCGGAGATAAAAATGTTTATCCATGTGATGCTCTTGCAATATATCCGCATTATATGTTTATCCATCAGTTGCAGGCGAAGCAAATACACGAGTAACTATTTTCCCTCCTGCAGTATTCTGCCATATTGGAAAGTTCAATTTCGTAACCATGGTTATGGACACACCTCCGTCACACCTCTTTATTGCTCCAATCAGAGCTTGCGTGTAGCTTTCCCAGAATGCCCCTGCAATCGTAAATTAGTTCATCTTCACTTCATATTTCCATGTGAAACACAAATGCCCCGTTTTTCTCCTTCCAGTAGCCGTAAGAGTTCTATTTTGTATTCGAAATCTTGAGCTAGCCTTTCGTAGGGTGGAGTTTTTCTTGCAAGTCTTTACAACCGACTTCAACTCATTCAGAAGAGGTAAGTACAAAGAAGTTCGCAGCTTGATCAGCGAGGAGTCGTGTGAAAATTATTCCTTTCGTTGCTCTGGTCAGTTAGCCTCTTTTTTTTTTTTTTTTTGTGACTGACGCGTATTGCTAAATACTGTTAACGACGATGACAAAAGTTGCTATTTAAATGATTTGCCCTTGATACCAATTTATATGTTAATTCCTGGAACTGTCGTTTAGTAATCCTTTCATGTTTTCGCGATCTATGGCCTCCAACAATTCGATGAGGAACAAAGTTATTGTGGAAACTGTGAGATAGCTGTTTTGAGGTGTGCAGTTGGGCAGTACAATGTACTACAGACGCTGCCCCACAAGTCAGTGGCACCGATGCATAAATCAGCCTGTGTGGTGGAATGTCCATAGGCATTCTCCCTTGACATGTGTATGATGGTTGATGGCTTTCAATTCTATTGAGATTTGTCCAAGCCAGGCCTTCCAGGTGAAAGATTTAGAATAAGTGACTGAATTAGTTATCAATTGTTTACTCTAAGACTCCCGTAATTCTGCAAAATGCTGGGTTTGGTGATAGGTTATATCCACACTACTAGGAGCTATACCATTTTTCAACAGTTAGGAAAATCAACTTTAATTTGCATTACTATATGGCAAGGTAATTTAGAGGTAAATACCAGCACTGATTTGGTTCTTACTTGTTTGGTACTTTTCCTTGTACACCATTTCCACTGAAATGATCATAACCCGTGTATTTTTGTTTTGAAAGGCACCAACTTTAAAATTAAAAAGTTTAGTTCAAGTGCAATACAATGAATCACTTGCTAACTTTGCTTGCTCAAGTTCTACTGAGGAATATTGGCCATTGGTCGTTTTTTGTAAGGACCTCAGGAAAATGTTCTCTAGTATGGCCCTCAGGCTTGGGAAGAAGTTATTATTTGTGGTTATAGCTGAATTCATCTGCTGCAATGACATTTATAAAATGATTGAGAGAAAGTTGATTTTATTTTAATATTTTTAATAACAATTTAAGGTGACGTGGTGGGCATGGCCACCACATCCACTGCCCAGGCCAATGCCACCATGCCCCTCTCTTCCTCCTCTTTGGCCTCTCTCTCTGCTGTTGAAACATTTTTTTATTTCTTTGAGAGAAAAGAAAAGAAAAAAATTAAAAGTTGTGATAAGACAATGCTCTTACAAGGAGATGTTACCCAACTGACAACTATACTCACAAGATCTAACTAATTAACCCTAATACCTAAAATCCCTATTTGTATTATCATAGATTTTTATCTTTTCTACAATGCTTGCATTCTGCAACTTTTGATGTAATTGGAAATAAAATAGTCTTTGTATATGTGTATGTGTTGGAAACCACTGTAATGAACCTTCAAGGGGTTTTTGTTTGTTCTAGTGTGCCACACCGAACAATACTTTAGACATTAATTTTTCTTCAAGCAAGGCCAGTCAGGACAATTAGTACAGAGAGCAAAGTCAGAAAAAGCAAACTATAGATGACCACATACATTTTATTTACTGCTTTTTATCTAGTTGATGATGCCTTTAATACAACAATTTCATTGTTTAGACTTACATAATTATATGTAGATGTCACTGACACATTGTCTTTAAATTTCAGTGCTAGCAACAGTTTTGATGTGCAGTATAATGTATATTGAAATGATCTGAAGGTACAATTTTGGACCGAGGTACTTGTGTAATGGACACAATGCCACACATGTCTGATTCACACAGTTTCAGTGAGTATTAGTAGAATGCATTGTACACAAGTGTGATATATATAATTAATGCTCTGTTTGTTTTGTGTTGACAAAATTAAATACACATCTACAGAGTGCATAGATCTTGTCATTTAAAGATATTACAAATTTCTTTGATGCAAAATGCTGTATAAAATATTAATGTTGTATGAACTGATGGTGATTCTTGTCTCTTTGTTTCCAGATTGGTGCTAAAATATGCAAAAGGACTAGTATATCAGCTTGTAAGCATCATGCTCATAACTTTGTGTAAATTAGCTCAGGAAAGTGTTAAAATGGTATGTTTGAAGTAAAATATTGATTTGATGCAAAACACAATCAGTTATCTTTAGTTTTATGATTTCCTAAGGTAATGGCATCCATAAAGATGCATATTTATTATTGATTGTAACAATGCTTCAAATAGATGCCCAAAGTGGGTTCTTTCACTGATGGTATTTTTTGATAGACATACATTTTAATTCGCAGTCTTAATAACTTTTACAAAAAGGAACATTGAATATTGAAAGCCCTAATAATACCATCATCATACAGAAAAGAATTTGTGGTAGCTTAATTCTTTTTAACCACTTGTTAAATTAATGTAATTATAAGTTATTTAGGAGACAAACAGATCTAAAGGTAGGTAGTAGATATTAATAGATAATACAATATGCCAACTGAGTTGTATAGTAGCAACTATTACTGTAATCCATAATTCCCTTCAAAGTCCACAGTATTAACTCAAAAACTAATGACTTTGTATAAGGTAAGTTTTCTCTTGGGTATTTCTCTCATGATTGTGGAGTTCAGTTACATAGTCTCATATTAAATTAAATTTTAATGTCATGGTGTTGCAAGGACATACAAATGTAATTGGAAATGTAGATTTTTACTATCAGATGGCTGCTTACTAAGTATATTTTCTCTTGCTGTTTCTAATGTCAATTACAAATCAATGAAAACAACAGGAACATCAATAGCCACAAACAAATTAAAATTAACTTGGTTAGAATCATTAACTGTTAAAGTGCTGGGACATATGAACTTTATCACATGGAAAGAAAAAGATCACATCACTCAAGAGAGAAATACTAACTAAAGATTCGGCCAAGTTATGCCTTCCAGTGCTTCTCTTCTGGTGTTGAGATAAGAATTTTTATCCAGTTTGGGACAGGCAGTCAGCAATTTTTGAAAACGCCTGTGTGCAGTGTGAACAATGACATTCTCCTCACCATACAAACATGTAGCATTCATAATTCTTTAGATGTCAGATTTTTCAAGGTTGGCTTTGGATGTTTATGTTTTTATGAGATATAGCTATAACATCTAGAAAATTTTCGACCCAAATGGAAAACAACAAAGAAATGGTCATTGTCCACTAATGTATCTAAAATTTAATGAGGTTTGAGAAAATCCTTTGTTTATTGGATCAATTTTAGAATCTGAGATTCATGTCATGATAGAGTTAAGTTTACAAGATTCATTCTGAGATAATAATAATAATTATAATAACTTTATTTATATAGCGCTTGTATCCTCTGCGTAAGGCACTTTACAATAATACAAAATCATACATTAAAAATTTACAGATTTACAACCATATCCTACTATATGAAACTTAAACATAGCTAAAATTCAAATTGATTAAAAAAGAAGAACAAAACTGAAGCCAGCCAAAAAAATGATTGTCTGTTGTTTATATATTTAGTAAACAAGAACATCTTAAGTGCTCTTAAAAATTGAGATGGTGTTAGACTTCTGAATTTCATGTAATGTTTAAAAAACAAGCAGGAGTGTTTTATCGGGTTTAAAACCACGAGGCGTAGCCGAGTGGTTTTTGACCCGATAAAACACGTGCTGCGAGTTTTTTGAACGGCTTCAAAAACATTCTTGGAAAAGCGTGTGTTAAGAGAGTTCATAACAATTATGCTTTTGTGAACGTTAGAAATTAGCATACGAGAAAAACATTACAAAAACATTAGAGGTTAGCGAAAATGAGTTGGAGTCACTTCTGCCAACTGATCTTGAATTCGAAGTTTCGGATGATGTATTGTCTAATATGCCTTTACCAGATTACTGTACTAATGGAATAGAGAATTTTTCCAGATGTGTATTTCACAACTGTACTATTAATTTGGTGCAGAAGTAAATTTACTGTGTGAAATTTGTTGAAAGAACATTAAATATGTTCCCACCATTTGTGGTGTCAGTTTCTGTGTTGATAATTAATTAATATTCATAAGTCACGTGCAGTGTATTTATATCTCATAAAACACCGCATACTAATAAGGATGAGGTTTATCGATATAAAGTCACTGCATGTGATGTATTATCTACCATTTGATAGGTTAATGGGCTTATGAATTATTAATGAGTTTTTGAAAGGGTATTAAGTTCCATTCTCTTGGCGCATGAACAGCAAATGGTCTGTCTCTGTAGGTCTTAGTATACGATCTAGGTTGCATTAAAAGTTCATTACTAACAGACCTAGATGATCCAGTAGGAGAATGATAATGTAGTTTCTGAGCTAAATAGCTAGGTGATGCCCCATTCAATGATTTATTCACTAGAAACAGAATCTTGAAAATATTAAGGTAATTGATTGGTTGCCAGTGAAGCTCCTGCAAAATAGGTGTGATATGCTGAAACCTACTCATTTGACACACAACTCTAGCCACTGTGTTTTGTACTGATTGCAATCTTTGTAACTGATACTTGGGCAAGCCATATAATAATGCATTACAAAAGTCTAGTTTTGATGTGACAAATGCATGAACAGCAACCACTGCTGATTCTTTAGAGAGATACTTCCTAATTCTAGATAGGTTACTGAGATGATAAAATGATGATTTAGGATGAGACTACATGAGTGACTTTAGGCTTGGTGTTGACTTAATGTTATAAAGCAGACTTGGATGGATTGGATGTTGCAATTTTATAGCTGCTCAATATGGTTTAAATCAACATTTTTCCAAAAAAATTCTGCTTCCATCTGTGAATTAAACTCCTTCAGCCAAAGACAATGATTTACCAAAAATGAAGCATGCATGGTGTTGGAAATACTGGCAGGTACATGCTCAAATACACGAACTTACGTAAAGATGTAACAATACATTCTGACCACCTAGGTCAATAAAAATGAAAAAATTTAGTAACCATGGTTATGGACACACCTTCGTCACACCTCTTTATTGCTCCAATCAGAGCTTGCGTGTAGCTTTCCCAGAATTCCCCTGCAATCGTAAAGCCATAAAGCCATTAGTTCATCTCGGGAGTTACTACACCACGGGCGACGAGCGGGGATAGAAAAAACGACCCAAATATGAGCGGTCAGCGGTGAAACAGCTTTTATAATTCATATAGAGACATATAATTTGTTGTTCCAGAGAAATCGTGTTGTAAAGCGGAAATGTTAACAGTTTACTTCACAGTTTAAGCAATTTTTCAAAAGTGTTGATTGAACTCATATCTTTTACTGCTTTAATAAACAATGGAGGCTTCGGAGAGGGAGTCAGTGGCATTTGGAAAGGCACCAAGAATAATTATATATATGGTTTGTTGCTAGCTGCGTGACGTGCGTGACGAAAAAAAAGTATCATGATTTCCGGTTGTCAAAAATGTCAATCAAATTTGGCAGGAACTTGGTTTTCGCACTGTAGTTTGCTTTTCCTGGAAGATTTTGCCATGGATGAAGACCAAAAGCCAACAATGTTAAGAGATTTAGAGATCGACTTTTTGAAAGAACATCTCAATGGCTTTTCTGTTGAAGGCAATTATTGTTTTGGATATTTCGAGGGAAACAGAGCAGAGATGGATGATCTGTTAGTTTCATTTCAGGCATTGAACTCCACCTGTTATGTACTTACAGAAAGCCATTCAAAAGAGAAAAACCACAACAGATTTTCTCAAATAGGTATATAATCTCTCAGTGTTTTAAAGTGCACAGATCCCGGTTTCCTTTCCTGACTCTCCTAATTCAGGGATAATTTAATTGAGAAGAATCGCCGTCTTTCAGAGTTTATGGTAAATTTCTTCAAAGGCAGTCTTACGCGATTCGCGAGAAGCTGCGTCTGAACTACCTATTTATATTTCATTTTAGTTTCTTTGTGTTTGTTGTTATTGCTGTTGTTATTTTTTTTTATTCATTTATCTCTACCTAAAAGGTCTATTTGGTTTAAAAACAGCGAACAGTGGCTTTGGCGCTTTGATGCCTCCGTTGGTTAATAGAGCATTAAAAGTATTGTTCCAGTTAAAGCTTGAGGAAAATTGCTTAACTTTTTAAGTAGCGAAGTGTAACTTTTTTGGTAACATTTCGGCTTTACAACACGATTGTTTTCTGCAACTACAAAACGTACATTTAATTCTTCTTGGTACCTTTCGGATGCCACCGATGCCTTCATTGTTTATTAAAGCAGTAAAAGATATATGTACAATCAACACTTTTGAATTGCTTAACATTTTATTAAGCGAAGTAGACTGTTTACACTTCGGCTTTACAACACGATTGTTTCCTGATACTATAAATGATCTGTCTATATATGAAGTATGAAAGTTGTTTCACCGCTGACCACTCGTATTTGGGTCGTTTTTTCTATCCCGGGTCGTTTTTTCTATCCCCGCTCGTCGCCCGTGATGTAGTAACTCCCGTTTTCTCTTCATCAAATTTTTTTGTGAAACGCAAAAGTTTGTTTCTCTCCTTTCGATAACCGTGGAAGTTCTATTTTGTATTCGAGAGCTTGAGCTAGCCTTTCGCAGGGTGAAGTTTTTCTTGCAAGTCTTTACGACTGACTTTAACTCATTCAGAAGAGGTAAGTACAAAGTAATTCGCAGCTTGGTCAGCGAGGAGTTGTACAAAAATTATTCCTTTCGTTGCACTGGTCAGTTAGCCTCTCTTCCTTTTTTTTGTTACTGACGCGTATTAATAAAGACTGTTAGCGACGATGTCAAAATACCTTATTTAAATGATTTTCCTTTGATACTAATTGGTATGTTAATTCTTGGAACTGTCTTTTAGTAATCGTTCCATGTTTTCGCTCTCTAGGGCTTTCAACAATTCAGTA